CTTTTGAGGTTCAGTTCAAACGCCCCATCTCGATCTCGACGGTTTGGTCCATCATTCACCGTCATGGAATGACGTGGAAAGTGCTTGAGCGTCGAGCCATGCACATCAAGGAGAAGGACATCCATCGCTTCTTCGAGGAGCTGAGTCTCTTGGACTGGACGCACTCCAACATTCAGTTCCTCGACGAGGTGAGCTTTGACTCCAAGGGAATGCTTCGAAAGAAGGGATACGCCATGAAGGGCCAGAAGCTTTGCTTCCGTGGTGAATTCGTGCGACGTCCGCGAATCTCCCTCCTCTGTTTCATCGACGTCAACGGAGTTTCCAATGTGTTCGAAACGGTTGGCACCTTCGATCGAGCCTAGTTTGTGGAATGTTGCTGGACCCAAGCAACGGCTGGTGCCATCTCGCCTTACCCTGGACGTGGATCCATCTGGATTATGGATGGCGCCAGCATCCATTGCCACCCTGACATCCCAAATCTGTTGCGATCCGTGGGAATTGTGCCGCTCTACCTGCCCTCATATTGCGCGTTTTTCAACCCCATCGAGTATCTCTTTGGGTACGTGAAGAAGGCATTTCGGCGCCATTACCGCGAAAACCACACCAACGACCTGCTCTTGTTTGTCATGAGCCTGTTGCAGTCGTTCAAGCGTTTCGACTTGTCACATGTCTACCGTCACTGTGGCTATGGTTTGCCGGGACATTTCGACCCGTCAACGCGTCTGACCGACCACGCCATGCCTTGTGCACCATCTTTGACTGAGATGGATGACCTGCTTGATTTCATGGAGTGCCGTGATGACGATAACGAATAAACACGAGTTAGATGAATTGATTTGACGATTTCACTTCTCATCTACGTGTCACTGTGATCGACATCCTGAGCATTCGGAATGGCAGCAATTGCCGCCACTACTTCTGCATGCTGGGCAGCTTGTTGCATCTGGTGCATGAAACCTTGGATGACACGACGCTTCCCATTCATGAATTCAATTGAACGCTTGACACGCTCGCTCGCGTCTTCAGTGTATCGCAGCACCGCTTGAAGTTCTTCAACGCAGGAGTCGACAACGTCGAGTGACATTGTGGCATTCTGCTCCAAGTTCGCCATTTGTCTTTGAGGTCCGTTTGGAACAGACGAAAACAGGTGCAGCATGTTTGACGGCGGAGGCAGGTCAATCGATATGGCATGCTGGTGAAATGGCTTCTTCAGGATAGACGCCGCCCACATACGCCACGTTGCTTCGTAGGCGCTGTATATCGTCGCCCATTTGTCCTTGAGGAGCGCGACGGTTTCTTGGTGCAGAGTCTCTGCAGCCGCACCTGCACGGTCTCGGGAAGGGGGTGCAACGCATTGCTCGTTCAGCTCTTGGAGGTCCGCCGCTGTGTTGACTTGATTGCCCCACTTGAAAACCAGAATGGTGAAGGTGCTGTTGACATGGGAAGCCAGATAGGCGTGTGCTTGCTCGTTGCTGGTGGGCTTGAAGTGGTATCTTGCCAACTTGATCGAAATGTACGACTCGAAGTCGTCCAACGTGGGAGGAGAATCACTGACCGACCACGTTCGAGGGTCGTTGACGTGCGTGGCCTTGGGGCTCATGTGCGATGAGCAGAAGTCGAAGATGCTAGCTCGAATGTTGCTCCACTGGGCGCCCTCAAAGACTTGTGGATGCAGTCGTTTGCCACTGTTGTCCCGCGCATACACCGACTCCTTGACAAAGAGATCGGCTCGTAGCGTGTAGACACCGGCACGCGTGGGTTGGGGAGAGCTCCGTGTGTTGTAGTGATGTGTTGGTGTGTGCACGTCCTGTGAGTTCTGTGAGTTCTGCGAGTTCTGCATTTTCTGTTTTGACATCAGAGACGCGTGTATTGACAGGCACTTCAATCGACATGTCCAAATGTGATTGGCTCGACTGGGTAAAATAGACTGTTTTGATTGGTCTGTCGATTTTCTGCCGATCTGGTGCTGTCGATTCAGTTCAGCACCCCCTTCCAATTTTGAATCGAAATGACAATACCAAATCCGCAATACAACACACCGCTGTATTACAGTACCGTATAGTGTATATGCATTGCGACGGATTAATCTATTGCGACTCCTGTAATAACTGATAATTTTCTTGTAATAACTGATAATTACTTGGGAACATGTTGAATATACTTCAAATTTGTATGACGCAATGGATTAAAAACGTTTTGAGAACGAGTGTCGGCTGGTTGTGAAATATCACCTGTCGCAATACATATACACTATACGGTAATAGTATTCATCCAAGTTAAGTAGCGTTGCTACTACTTCCCCGTCCACCAGTTTCGAGTCCATTTATACAAGATATCTCCAAGTATTCGTACGCATACGTTAACGTTATACTACGTACTAATTGTTATTGCAATCGTACTCTAACTAGGCCAACAGGTTGCGCTGCGTCTCTTCTTGGCCTTCTTCGACCGAGTCCATGGCGCTAAAGTTGAAAAAGTGCGTCTTCCGGTGCACTTCGTGGTAAAATTCCTTGGGGGTGCCCACCTTGACGTCGTACTTCATGGTCGTGGTGTGCTTGACGCCCATAAAGTTGTAATTCCACCCTTCCTCTTCTGGGACCATAAAATAGCCCAAGAACCGATCCGAGAGCAGCATCTGCACCTTTTCAAAGTGCGTCGGCGCGTACCCCGACGGACTCGGGCCCGTGTCTCGGTTCGTTTTGCCCCAGTCGTACCCGGCAGGCGTCAGCTTGTACGCCGTGAGCGAGCACGATCCAGGCGTGAAGCTGCACGTAATAGCTATAGTCTTTTCGCCATCCCACGAGGCATTTTCCGCGAGAAGTTTCGAGTGCAGTGTCACATCTTGGGGCGGCAACACGGGGGTTTCATTGGGCTGCGTGTGGATCCACCCGAGGCACTCCATCGTGTCCAAGTACTCGTGCGATGGCGCGGTCGTTGGCAGCGTCACGTTCTGATGGGTCCCCAGTTGCGGCGGCAACACAATGCACCGAATCTCCTTGACATGGGGGTTGTCGGGGGGACTTACACCATACAGCAAGCCCGCGATTTGCGTGCGCAGGTCCGAGATCGTGATAAACTTGTTCAGAACGTTCTTGGGTAGGACGTACGTGAGCCCAGTCTCCTTGATATCGTCCGAGTTGACGTAAATGTGATTCGTGCGCAGGTGCAGGTTGGTCGCCGAGATGGCGCGGACTCGCCAGTCAGTTTTCGATGCGAACGAGTGCTGTTCATACTGCGATGTGGTGGTGATCACCATCTCATCCCCGTGAACGTTGACGGTCTTGGTCGTCACGGCCGTGAGCTGCGACTGTTCGCGGGCCTGCGACTCGATCTCGGCCATCTGCTGCCGCTGGAGCGAAGGCGCCGAGATCTCCATGCCGAGAATGATGTCGCGGATCTCGCTCTGCGTCAAGCTGGCCACGTTCACATTGTTCTTCTTGCCATAATCGTTGAGAATCAAGTCTTTGAGCGACACTTCGAGCTGGAGCCACGCCTCGTCTGACAGCGACGGCCAAATGTGGTGGTCCTGCGTGATCGTCGTCGCATCTGGCCGCAGCAGCAGCTTGGTCCGGTCTTGGCTCACGTGGAGGGCCCGAAGGATCAAAATGAGCCGGGAAAACGCAGTGTAGCTCGTGATCGTACTCAGCCAGTCGTCATATATATTGAAGAGCACCATCTGCGGCTCGATCGCGCGAAGGATGAGGTCGCCAAACTTTTCGACTTTGAGGCACGCTTGAAACGGCAGCTGCAGCTCCGAGCCCTTGATCACAATGTTGGGGAAGTCGAGCAAATGCACTTCGAGCGGGTCGAGCATCCCCTTGCGGGTCACAATGATCTGCTTGGGCTGCTCTTCCACCGGCAACGACCGAATCAGCGCCGCTACTTCCTCGGCTGTCTTCCATTTCGCCAGCTGCCCCAGCCGCTTTTGCCCTGCCCACACAGACGTGTGGATGATCTTGAGGAATAGCTGCCCCGTGCGCGGGTTGAAGATGAAGATGGCGCCGTTGATCGGCTTTGTCGTCAAGTTGCCTTCAAATGTCTTGTGAATCGTGACTCGGTACACGTTGGTGTCGTCCACAAACCAAATGATCTGGTTTGAGAAGAGCTCGCCATAGTTTTGGCTAGACAGGTACGGCTCGGTGGGCTCGGACGAGTACAGCTGCAGCCCCTTGCGAATTCGCTCACGGAGGACATACATGGCCGGGTTTGCCTTCATGATCTTGGCCATAGCTTGCTGCATGAGCGGCTTGCACCCGGTAAACCAGTTGCCGTACCCGCTGTACAAGTTGTAGGCCAAGTCGATGGCAAGTAGCACCCCCGTAGGCGACGGGTAGATGGTCATGTTGTCGGTCGTGTAGTCGAGAAACTTGGCGCGCGCGTACCGCTCAATGTCATGCGAGTCAAAATCCCCCCATCGCAGCTGCACGTCGATCCAGTACTTGGTGGACGTAGCGCCTCCATCTGCGACACTGTCCTTGATATCGTGGAGCAGCGACGGCCGGCCCATTTGCCACTTGTATGACGCAAACAGCAAAATGTCGGCGCAGCTCGAGTTCATCTTGTACGATTTGCGGGGATGGATGGTTTCTTTCTGGACGTTTTCAATCGACAATGCGTCCAGCTCTTGGTCAAACACTTGGCACAAATCCATCACAAGCGACTCGTGGATCTTTTGCCATAGATGGGCCCGGAAGATCTGGATCAGCGAGATCTTGAGCGTCGGGATCTTGCCGTGCATGAAGATCCCAGTCAAGTCGAGCTGGACCTGGAAACCCACGTACACGTTGGCGCGGTTTATCGTGGGCGACCACCACAGTGTAAACCGCCGGTTCGGGATCTGATTTAGCCCCGATCGCTGCGCGTTTGTGAGCTTCTTGTACTTCATAGACTCTTCAAATCCCGACGCTTTCTCCCAAAATAGCCCTTCCCACGTCGGGAAGTACGTGCCCTTGAATAGTGTATGCTCGAGGATGCCTTCGACCCCCCCCAGCGCTTGAATCATATCCGTGCGGTAGTTGTTGAGGTTCCACAGCTTGCCGTCGTGCCGCGTATGCGTCCACCAGAACGGATTCTGCCGCAGCACTTGGTACTTTTTGAAGTCGGTGCGGACGCGCCACCCCTTGTCATACGCGAGCGTGTGCCGGTCCTTCTGGAACAGCGTGTTGATGCGAGGAATGCCGCGATCCCACGAGTCCTCCAAGTCTTCCAGCGTCAGCCGACGGTTCTGCACGCTCGCCTCTTGCCGCTTCAACGCGTACTCGGCCCAAACACGCTGAGAATCGATAAATTCAGACTCCCACGGCTGCAAATACCGAAACAAGTTGGGAATGAGCTGGTCTTCTTCGTGACTCATGCCGCTGCGAAAGTGCGTGATGCCGCCTACGTAAATAGATATATGAGATATTCCATAGATAAGAGAGATAGAGATGGAACAACCACTGTTCTTCATACAGACGATATATATATATATATACTCACTAAACCACACTGTCAATCCAACGCAACTTTAGGTATATATATATATATTATATATGTGTATCCAACCGTAACGACAAGATGTATGGATCTTTCGATAAGAAAATACAATCTATACATGTTTTTACACCTAGGAATATACGTATTATATATCGAAGGTGGTACATACATATATATATATATATTTACGTTGGTATATATATATATATACTATACTTTTAGCAGATTATAAATATCTAATATATATATATATATATATATACTATACTTTTAGCAGATTATAAATATCTAATATATATATATATATATATATATATATACTATACTTTTAGTAGATTATAATCAACAACCCAATCCTCATATATACATACACACACTTGTAACGTGAGATGGCCACCCATTTGTGTCCCTTTCACAACTCTTGTATCATATATATATATATATCGTATCCTATATGTATAGATAGATAGATACCTTCAGTCTGCTTGGTATATCGCATGTCGGACTGCGGAATCAGCACGTGGCCCATGCTAAGCATGCCGAGTCCGCCTAGTTCCTTGGGCGTGTAAAACACCACAGGCGGGAATCGCGACGGCATCTTCGAGTTGAGCCCAATCTTGATGCGCGTTTGAATCTTGTTTTCGCACTTGACGAGCAGATCCAGCAGTTCCTGGGTCTGCACGACGCTCTCGCGGTAGTACGTCATGAGTCCGATGAGCGCCGCGTTCCACTTGTTGGCGACTTTGGTGAACGTGGTGCTGCCGCTCGACATGAGAATCGACCGCACGCGGTTCTCAAACGTTTTGATCGCGTCCTCGTCCACCCGGAGGTACGCTTGCGCCGTGCGTTCCTTGGTCAGGTCGTTCTGGAGGTTCCACACTCCATCCTTGTGGGCAAACTCATCTTCGAGGGCTCGGACGCGCGGCAACACGCGCACTTCGAACCCGCACATGTTGAAGAGCAAGTTCGGGTTGTCCTTCGAGTACACTGACACAAAGCTATGGTCCCAGTCCAACGTCGTGATGGAGCGGGGCAGGCGGTTCTGCATATCCCAAAAGGTCGCGCGCCCCAGGTTCACATCATGCTTCATGAGCCGCATGCGCGCATCGCGGGGCCAGCACTTCTTGTTGTTGTACCCGACAATGTTTTCGTTGTTCGGGTCGGGGTGCTCGGTCAGGTACCGCTGGATGAGCTCGCGCGAGTCGGCCGCGTCGAACTTGTACACCACGTACAGCCGGTCGATGTATCGCGTATACATGCGGATCGGGTGATGGGTCTCGGTCTCCGTGTCTTTGAACGTCAGGTACTCATTGGGAAAATGGGGTGGGCCAGCAATCTCGGACGCCCGTGTAAGCCCCAGTAGCAGTAAATCCAGTACCAAGCCATAGTACTGGTAGATGAACGAACCAAACTGAAGGCCGCGGATAAGCCCGTACGAATTCGTGTGCATCATGTCCTTGTACGCGAGCACAATGTTGTTCTTGGCCGTCATATAGTCGGCCATATTGTGGTCCAGGACGAGGCGTAGTAGCCGGTTCAGCAGCGTCAAATCCATCTTCTCAGCTACCTTTTCGAGCTTGGTTTCAAGCATCACGACACACTCGCCAGCGTCGCACGCCCATACATTGTGCAGGTTGTTGATACCTTGGCACCACTTGTACACCAACAGCGGCGGCGGTTCGGCGTCGCTTGGCTTGATCCAGCTTGGAAACAGATGCCGCTTGTCGGCTTCGTACCACAGATACTGGTCCAAGTAGGCGTCTGTGATCTTCTCCAGGGGTTCAATCTCGTACACTGGGATCAAATGCGAGTACAAGTCCATAAACTCGATCGACATCTCTTTGAACGCGCGCTGGGTGAGCAGGTGCCGCTTGATTCGGCTCAGGGCTTCGTGCGGGTTGTCGTACGCTTGCTCGATGAGCCCCAGCTCTTCGCGCTGCGATTGGTTTAGCCGGTTGTTGGCCGAGTAGTTTTCCTTGAGTCTTTCCAGCGCTAGGATCAGCAGCTTCGTGTCGTGCTTGTACGAGAGCGGCGGGAATGGAATCGGCGCGAACTTGCGGCTTTCCAGCCAATGCACTGTGGTCGTGTACACCGCGACGGCTTCCTCTGCCGACACGTACGGTCCGTCCTTGAGGTAGTTGTGCTGGCGCTCCTGCTCCGCCTTGAGCCACAGCCGGGTGAGCCGCCCCAGGTTCTTCTTGCATACAGTCTTGTCCACGGTAGCGCCGCGCTTGATGCGTTCGCGGTTGTAGTGAGCCACGTTGGTCCACCAGTCGGCTTTGGACTTGACGTAGCGCAGGATCATGTTTTCGATGGGCGACGGCAGCCCCGGCACCTTCCACGGGATGTTCGCCTTCCAGCACCGCCATGCTTCGCTCAAGTGTTGGAGGATCGTGCGGCTCTTGTTGGCCTTCACGCCTTCAGGCATCATGTCCAGGATGTCGTGCATGACGGCGGCGCGCAGCTCCAAGTCGAAATGCGATTCTACGCGCTGTTTCGTCACGGTCTTGGCGATCCCCTTGGAGTGGCGCCCTTCAAACTGCCGCGCGAGCAAGTTGCCCAGCCATCGCTCCAGCAGCGGCACGATTCCCCGCAAGAAGAAGAGCCATACGCGCCACGCTGGCGCCCAGAACCCGCAGCCCGGCCCTTTGCCCACAGGACCCGTGTTGAACCGGTAGTAAATCAAGTGCTTCAGGTCCTTGCACATGCGGACTTGGCGCATGAGCCGATACTTGTACCGGTACATCCCCGTAAGCTGCCCCACATGTGCAAAGATATACTGGAGCCCATCCGCGAGCTGGAATGCATCCACGTTGCCGAGCCGGTACTGTACATGCGCATCCACGAGCAGCTTTGTAAGTCGGAGGATTTCCCGGGTCAAGTGAAACGCATTGCCAAATCGCGACTTTTTGCGCTCCTTCGTCGTCAAAGTCTTGATGGGCTTGAGGTTAAAGTTGTAGTCCAAGTGGAGGTAGTTGAGGTTCTTGCGGTGGATAAGCAGGTTGAGCATGTTGTAGCCTTGTCGACACACTTGTAGCCCAGCTTCGACCCAGTCGAGCTCGGTGCTTTGGAAAAACTTGGTCGACTTGAGCGACTTGAACAGGTACTTTTTGTTGAGTGCTTTCGGCGGTCGAGAGTGCAGGTGGTTCAGGACCCAGCACTTGAGCAGCTTTTGATAGCTCACGCGCACTTTGACGGGTTGGTTGGGGGGGCAATGCTCCTGGAACCACTTGTTGACGAGGGGGACGTCCACGGCGCGCCGCGTCTTGCCCATGCGCAGATTGAACGGCCGCGGCGCCCAGTACAATGCGATGCCGCTCGCCGTGTGGTCTGTATACAGAGGGAGGTCGGTCAAGATGGGCGCAAACCCCATGGGCATTTGGAAGGCTTCTTCTTCTTCATCATCTTGTTCGGTCAATGTGGCGCGGGAGGCCGCGGCGACGCGGAATTGTGAGATTGGGTTCACGATCGGATCAAAGTAAAACGCAGGCAAGTCGGGGTCTTCTGCTTTGACGTAGCACAGCGCCGGCACATGGTACGGCTGAATGTGCACGGATCGCGGCCGGCTGTTGTACAGGTACGGAAATGCCACCCGATACTCGGTGCGGATCTAGTTAGTTGGTTGGTTAGTTGGTCAACTTCGACAGCGAAACATTCACGATCGACCAATCAAAACAAACATATCCAGTAGCCAATCAAAATGATGCGCAACAATTGTACGGTGGGTGGGTTGCCTTCAATTAGTGTATGAACGGACACATCCAAAATGCAACCATGAAATAGGATCTGCATTCAATTAGTGTGTGTATGCCTTCAATTAGTGTGTGAATGGACAGATCCAAAATGCAACCATGCTAGATATCGAAATAGTGTATGCCTTCAATTAGTGTGTGAACAGACAACTGTTACATCCAAAACTCGATGCATATGGAGTGAATAAAAAGGCCAACGATGTTGTACCCATCCAAAATGCAACCACGCTAGATATCAAAATAGTGTATGCCTTCAATTAGTGTGTATATACATTCAATTAGTGTGTATATGCATTGGACACACACTTTCATCCAAAACTCGATGCATACATATGAGGTGAATCAAAAGGCCAAATATGATTCGAATCAAGGGGAATCCATACCTGGTGTCGGATGATGATCTTGTTGATGTCGTTGAACTCGTTCCAGTCCTCGTCGTCTTGGTCCAAGTCGCGGTAGAGCGGCTCGAACTTGGGGCCGCCGGGGATGGCCACGTTGAGCGCTTTAGCCGTGAAGAACGATTCCTTGTCGAACAAGTACTGGTAGTTCGGGTCGATCAAGTCGCTGAGCAGTTGACCTGCCAACCGGTGGAGATTCGACATGACCGGCACCGGCAGCTTCCACTTGCGGTAGCTCGGGCCGTTGATGAACTTGGTGCCAAGCAGCGGCTTGGCGTCGTACAGCCACTCGATCACCGGCGCGTCGTCGTCCTCGTCCAGCTCCATGTTGATCGCCTCGGACGGCTCCACGTCCAAGATGTTGTCGCCATAGTCCAAAGGAGGTTCTTCGTCGTCAAAAGGCGGGAACCGCATGCGCTTGAAGTGCCGACGGTCGCGCTTCTCGCGACGCATCATGATCCACATCGTGCCCCATTGCGCAATGTACACGGGCTCCACGACCCACGGGATGTCGTTCACAAACGTGATGGCGCCCGTGATGTGGTACAACACCTTGACTTCGCGCACTTGCTCCCACGGCATCGGCATGTTTTCGAGCAGTTTGTACACGGCATGAGGGACATACTTGAGCGCACCAAGATACACACGCTTGTCGTGGCGGAACTTCTTGCTGCTCATGTCCCCATGGTCGCGCACGATCTTACGCACGTGCTCGGCAGGCATGTCGTCCTTGGTGCTTTCAACAAACCCAAACTTTCGCTTGTCGCCATATCGCTTCGTTTGGCGCTTGGCCCAGCGTTTACTGCGTTCCTCAATCTCGAGAAAGTACGTGTGCGCATCGTTGTCGTACGAAGACAGCGGCGGCACAACGTCTTGTTCCTCTTGAGGGACATGTTCGATGGGAATCTTCGTGAGTGGTGGCGGGGGCGGCGGTGCGACAGAGGCCGACGATGCTGGAAGTGGTGGTGGCGGGAAGTGCCCTCCCGGAGGCGGTGGAATCACATGCGACCCTCCTTGCTGGAAGGGTGGTGGCGGTGGCGGAACGACCATCTCTCTCGATTTCTGGACTTGGATTCTCGCTTCTTCCCCAGCCACAGAACGATGGAAATGCCACACGCATTAAGAACGCGTATCCGGATGTAAATGGTTTATCCGGATAAAGAGGGTTCGAATTTTCTTTTGCTGCACCTTCAACGCATTGATTCAAATACTGATTGCCGCGCGAATCAAGGCGCCCACGTCCTGGACGATTCTCTGGTCGACGATCTTCCACGCGAGCCCAGGCAACGAAGAGCGACTGGCGGGGGTACTTCCTCGTTCGGAACGAACACAGGTATGTACTGTACACGACGATTATGCCTTTGGTGCGCTTTCATCAATATGCAGGGTTGGTTGATACTGCTCACGACTTTAGATTGCATAACGTTAGGTCGACAGACTTCGAATAGATCTCGTCGTCATGCTATTGTTGGAGCCCAGGGGTTGCGAATGCTCTGTGGACGTCAAAGTCTGTCTGTTTTGTCTCAGTGATCACCACTTGTCAAAAAAGTATGGCTGGCCAACTTGCCCTCATTGCATCATCAATGGCAAGGCGGAAATACATAGGTGTGATGTCACGTACATGTAAAGTGGACCGATGTAAGTAGTGTCCGCCTCCACTCCTACCGGTTACTGTACACTCTCTCAACACATCGCCGTGCCGGTAGCCCAAGAAACCCACACTTGTTCGAGCGTGCATGCCGCGTTTTCCTTACTATTGCAAGGAATCTCTCCTTGCATTGTAGCTTTGATAAGGAGGGGTCGTCGTAATCATGTCCAAGCGGTGTACTCGAGAGGGCAACATGCCCATAACGTTAGGTATTTTAGTTATTTATATTTATGTTAAATATTTATCCCAAATTGAGTGTCATTTCGCGAAATAGCATTCACAGTTGTCACTTGGAGTTGATCAAATTTAAGCTTGGACAAATGATGTTATACAAAGATTAGTACATATGTGGTTTTGAGGGACGGTGGGTCGAATCAAGCGTTTGGATTGGCAGAAACTCGAGAGGACGTGATTTGATTGGTTTAGGCAGTACGTTAATCCATTCTCTTTTACGACATTGGATTCTGCTGAGGGCTCCAGTTCTTGTGCTGAGTCGCCAAATCTATACAAGTATAGATCGATTCATTGTACTGAATTTTGTACGTAAAAAAGGTTTTTGGTATCACACTGAGTCACACACTAATCATGATGGTTTCGTGCAATCTGATTGGCTAAATATATCCATCTGCCGATTCTATCGCTCCAGTTTACTAGAATAAACATAACAATACATACCGTATAGTGTATATGTATTGCCACGGATTAATCTATTGCGACTCCTGTAATAACTGATAATTTTCTTGTAATAACTGATATTTACTTGTGAACATGTTGAATATACATCAAATTTGTATGACGCAATGGACGTTTTCAGAACGAGTGTCGGCTGGTTGTGAAATATCACCTGTCGCAATACATACTCCGAGTATAGAGTGTATATACGGTATTCGTCTACGTATACGTGCACGATCCCAGTGTGTTCGACGCGTGGCACAACGTTCACGCGTTGGTTGGTTGTCGCGGTTTGGTGGACAATTCTCTTTTCACACAACCGAGCTGTCCTTGAAAGCACTTCTAAACATGACGAGCTCTACGACGGCCGGTCGATCACATGGCTGCGTTAGCTTCCACAAGACCTCCAGTCGACTTGTCCATTCTTGGAATTGACGTTTTGACATTGCTGGGTCGGGTCGGCAAACTTCACTTCATGGAGCCAACTATGTATTCTGGGATACAGTACGTGCGTAAGTAACTGTCGCCGCCGAAAACGAGCAGCGAGCCCAGGTCGCAGTTTCCACGTCATCGTGCTAACTACATGTAACCAGGCACAGCACCTTCAACTCGTAATTTGGTACTGTTCGTCGAGGGTTGATTTACAAGTGGCCGATCGCCAGGCATCTGTGCGGATTCCGAAGAAACCAATGGTGCCATCCATGGTCGTTGTTCCTGCCTTTGATGTCGCGTCCTCGTTTTCAATTGTACTCATCGTGAACTTTACCAACCTGTACTACGAGGGAGTGTCCTCTGCTGCCGCCATATAGCATTGCATCTCACGTCTCTCTCAATGCTTGAACCCATCGATGCGTAATGAAGCCATGAACTTCCTTGCCCATCACGATGGTGTACATCATGGCGACAGCATTTCACCGCGCCACGTACCTCACTCCGAACATGTGTTACGCAGGCTTCATCGAATTTGCATCCAATCAGAGGGCGATTTGGATTTATTTTATCCAATCATCAGGCGACATTCATGACGTCGACCCGTCATTTCCATACATGAGCGTTGATTGGATCCCACAATTTGATCTAACCAATCACAATCGACTTAAGGTGGCCCCTACCGGAAGTTCAACCTTACCACCAAATCTCAGGCATTCCGTCGAAATATTTTCAAATTTTGCATGCTTGTCCACGATTGTCTTGCTTTTTGTATCGAAACGAATTCAAAATAATCCAAATTACAAATTAGATTCATGTATATTATGACCATGTGCAGTTTGTCTCTTGATGGAATTTCAGTTTTCCACCAACAATCGCGACCAGGGCGATGACGACTGCCGCCGCTACCGCCGCCTCCTTCGCGGGCCAAGTAACACCCTTCCTGACATCAGGACATCAGCTATATGTGGCACTTTGCCGCGACACCATGCGTCGTCTGCATACCCAATCTCCTGTGACCCCTGCACAAATCCAGCTCCTCGAACAACATGGCAATCGAGGTACTGCACTTGCCTGTGTCGTCAGAATTAGTCGTCTCTTCAGCATCTCACGTGCCTTCTAGCGGACTCGTGGGACACTGTGTACACATCGGGGAGCCTGGCAACCTTAATCCGCGTCCGGAACTGCACCTTCCGGGGTCGCGTGCACCTTGGTACGAACGCATTCATGATCAAGATGACATCGTATGTGCTCTTCTCTTATCGTATCGTTGTAGGTTCCTTCACAAAGGATGTGATGGTGGACAATGTGCCCTTTCCGAGCGGATGTTACAACACCACCATCGTCGACAGCTTTGTCCTGGACGACGCGTTGGTGCAAGACACGTTCCTTCTTCACCGTACACATCACGAGTCCTTTCCGTCTCCTTGCCGACGCTGGTCATTCTCGTAGGAACGTACGTGAGTCATGGCGCCGTCGTCGTCGGCTGCGGGACCATCACATGCTCTGGCACAGACGTGACGAACGGCAACGGCACGGTGCTCAAAGTTGGCGTCGAGATCGGGGGTCGCGAGATCGCCATGTTTGCAGACATGCCGTTTCACCTCGCGGCCGTCGTCGGGGAAACCCGCGGAAACGTGTCTGAGCTCAAAGCGTACGAAGACCTTGTCCGGACGTACACGAAGAAAGTGCAGTGCGACGGCTTCAACGTCATTGCGCACCAAGCCAAGGTATCCTCTGGCATGACATGATCCCCTGGCACATGACGTTATCATGATATGTCATAGCTCCTCCGTTGCCCCAAGATCCGCGACGTGTTTGTCGGCGACGCGGCCGTCCTGGAAGACTCGGTCGTGTCGAATTCAACCATCCTGTCCAGTCCCGCCGAAGTCAGCTCCATCCTCGGCTTTTCTCAAGTGCATTCTTCCATTCTACAGTGGAATGCGCATGTTCACAGCGGCAGTTCCGTCGAACGCTCCTTCCTCTGCGACTGCTCCCGCGTCGAGCGCCACGGCGTGGTCATGGATTCCCTCCTTGGTTCGTCCTTCCTCCCACGTTCCAAGTCACTTGACCGGATTCAAGTCACTTGACACCCCCACTTGTTTCCATGTCACTCGACCTTTATTCTATTCTATTCCTTGTCACTTGACACCCCCATGTCACTCGACCTTTATTCCTTGTCACTGGACCGACTGTCGTAGGCCCGAACACGGCGATTGCCGAAGGCGAATGCACGTCGACGTTCCTAGGCCCGTTTGTGGGGTTCCATCATCAAGCGATGATCGTCGCGGCATTCTGGCCGCGCGGCCGTGGCAACGTCGGGTACGTACACGAATAAATGGCGAATATGATGATGCTGCTGCAAGTATGTATATGACATGATGATGTAGCTACGGCGCCAACGTGGGCAGCAACCACACGTTGAAGGCGCCGGACCAGGAGCTGTGGCCGGGCGAGGGCGTGTTCTTTGGGCTGTCCGTGTCCATCAAGTACCCGAGCAACTTTACGAACGCCGCGTACTCTGTCATAGCCACGGGCGTATCGACGCTGCCCCAGAAGCTCGACATGCCTTTTGCATTAATCAACACTCCCGGGCACAACATTCCCGACCTGTCTCCAGCGATCAACGAGATTTACCCTGGGTAGGTTATGGGATCATGATGCTATGATTCTTTTTGATGTGGAGAGTATATATATCTATGTATATATGTATATATATATCTATGTATATATGTATGTATATATATATATCTATGTATATATGTATATATATATATCTATGTATATTTATATTTTTATATGTATGTATATTTATATTTATATATCTATGTATGTTTATATTTATATATATCTATATCTATATATATATATATATCTATGTATATTTATATTTATATATATCTATTTATATTTATATATATCTATGTTTATTTATATCTATATATGTCTATGTATATTTATTTATTGCATGACATGATGATGTCGTATGATATAGATGGGTGTTGTCGCATTCGATCTTTACCGTGTTGCGCAACCAAGACAAGTTTGACAAACGCAACAAATCCAAGCGCACCAACGTGGACTCCCCCATCTTTCGCTCGGACATCATCATGATGATGCAAGGTATATGGTCCATGCACGTATATCTCGAAACACATGGATGACGTTATCACCTGACATGTGCCAAGGGATGACGTGATCATGATAACGTGTCATATGACACGTATTTTAATATACTTCACTACCTATTTTAATACACTTTGGGCCTTGACAAGTCTTTTTGTGTAGTGGCGTGCCAGCGTCTCGTGGATGCCGAAAAGAAACCGGTCAACCTTCGCCATGGCAAACAAATCATTTACACGGACAAACAAGTACCTATATATTAATATATATATATATTGCGATATATAGAATAAAATGAAGCATATATATATATATAAATCGTAGGTTCCTGGATTGGGCAAGAATTACATGACTGAAACATCGCGGGTGGTGGCGATTGAAGCTTACTCGTTCTACACGCGCGTGTTTGCGTTGGAAGGGTACTGGCACCAGCTTCAAACAGGCGCCATCTCGATTGAAACCCCTCTAAACCACCTTGCGATCGTTGATGGCCTCGACGAATCTGCGGCTGCCACGTATGTATTATATATATATATGGATATTATTAACAATATATTAACTATATATCTACGACAGATGGGCCCACCAACGCGCAATATTAGTCGAACATGGAGTAGTCCAAGGCGGGGATTTGCTGCGAGAACTCGTGGCGGCATACAAGAGCATTGCCAAGAACGCCCAAGATGGCAAGTCCAGAGACGATAAGCGAGGCCAGCACATCATCCCCGACTACACTCTGGTGCACAAGAAGGCATCGGAAGAGCGCATTGTGATTGATGCCCACCGGTACAGTTGATATATATATATATATATATATATATAGATCTGACTCTGGTATAAATATATGTGTAGACGGGCGATGGACCTCGAGCGCGCCGTGGCAAACTATCTGCCTCGGCTATAGGAGAAGAAAGACATGCAGGGAGATTTCAATTTTTAACTACCCAACAGCCCACTATGTAGCGTTCCCATAGCTAACAACTCTATTACTACTACGTACTACTTACTACTCGTTCATTTGGCACAATTGACTAGTCGCTACGTACTCATCAAGTTAGCTAACTACTACGTATTAGTGTACTAGTAGTATACAGTAGTACAATTGTTCATCATGTCAATATGGCGCGTACACAAGAGATACTATAACGCATTGTCGAAAAATAGGGTTTATATCTCATCGAGTAAACCCTACTAGTACTTCACATGCCTCCATCCCCACGTCCACACAACCTCAAGTGGTGCTAGAGATGGTTTCTAAAACGACTTGTTGATTCGTGTCGTGTGCCACCAGTGCCACCGGGTTCTTGTTTGAGGACGGTCAAGAGCGACAGGTGTACTGCAATGAATGCCACATCCTTGAATTCCAAACACGTTAAACTCTATAAATACATAAAACCTGAACACGATTTCGACACCATCATTCTCCGTGGGGAACATTCAGGAAATTGGGCGGGACTCGATTAATTGTGACAGGTAGTTTCTCCGCCACTTGAGTGGTCGCTTTCATTTGCAAATTTGCATCCCCCAAGGTAACAGCTCGCCGTCCCGCGCTTCGTTCCCTTCCCCGCTAGTCCCTTCGTCCGACGGCTTGAACGCTTGTGCATGCTTTTGTGTTTCCGCCGCCTCCAGCCCCTCTACTACCCGTTGGAAAAGAACAAGTTTATACCCAAATAACGTCTATTCAACCATGTCGAACATCAACATTGCCGGAACGACCCCTGTGGACGACCCCGAATACCGCTACAAGATGCCGCGCCTCGTTGCCAAGATCGAAGGCCGTGGAAACGGCATCAAGACCGTCGTCGTGAACGCCGTCGAAATCGCGTCGGCGCTGCATCGCTCCCCCGGCGAGGTGACCAAGTTTTTCGGCACAGAACTCGGCGCGCAGTCGAAATTCGACGATGCCACCGAACGTGCGGTCGTGAACGGCGCGTTTGAAGCGTCCCAGATGCAGGCGCAGCTGTCCAAGTTTATCGAACTGTTTGTGCTGTGCCCGAACTGTCGGCTACCGGAAACCAAGTACAAGTACAAGGGCAAGGAGAGCATTTTCCACCGCTGTTTGGCGTGTGGCGCCGTGGAACCCGTGGACATGAACCACAAGTTGACGACGTACTTATTGAAGGAACATACCGCAGCGAAACGCGCCAAGAAGAGCGACGGAACCGACAAGAAGGAGAAGAAGCTCAAGAAGAAGGACGCGGAAGGCGACGACGAGCCGAAAAAGGAAAAGAAGGAAAAGAAGGAAAAAAAGGAAAAGAGCGGCGAGAAGAAGGAAAAAAAAACCAAGAAGAAGGTCGAATCGGACGACGACGACGAAGGGTCGACCAAGGCCGGCGACGATTCCGAAGCAGAGGTCGAATGGCACACGGATTTGTCGGCGGAAGCTGTCGCCGCGCGCGCCAAGGAAGCGGAAGCCCTGGAAGCGGCCGCGCATTCCGCTATGGTTGCGCCCCCGACGTCGTCTGCCTCGGAGGACGTCGTGGCGTCGTTTGACAATTTGGACATTGACGACGAAGCCGCGATTGAAGCCGCGACCGCCGCCGTCGCCGCGTTCTTGCAGTCGACGCACTCCCCCGCCGAAATCTACGACGAAGTGGTGCGCCAACAAACCAACGGCGCGCTCCCCGCGAACGACCGCCTCTCGATCTTCTTTGGCGCGGCGTTCACAAGCCAAGTGCTGTCGAGTAACCAAGTGGCCAAGTACCGCCCCGTGCTCGAGAAGCTGGTCGACAATGAGCGGTCCCAGCACCAAGTGATTGCTTTGACCGAACACTTTTGCGCCGTCAAGTTCCCCGCGTTGCTCACGTCGTTCCCCGTGGTGCTCAAGCTGCTCTACGACGAAGACCTGGTGACTGAAGAGATCATTTTGGCCTGGACCGACGACGATTACCGCAAACTCCACGCGCATTTCCAAGTGACGCCAACCCAAGCCGCTGCACTCAAAAAGTCCCTGGAACCATTTGTGTATTGGCTGCAAAATGCCGAAGAGGAAAGCGATGACGAATAAGCTTACTATTTTGAATAGTATTACTCGGAGAACTACTAGTGATGGCATAGTAGTACTAGTAATAACAAAAATGTATGAATCAAAGCAAGCGGTTTTTGGAAAAGTAGCCAATCAAAATCGTTTCCATCGACTTTTGCAAAAACCGCTCTGGACGACCTCCTTGAGGTCGTTTACAGCGACTTTTGGGATTGTGGCTATTTATTGGGCAAAAATATCAGAATAAATTGTTGGTTGCTAACCAAAATTTCGCAGGAGCACGCCCTTGTCGGGTGCCGGTGGTTCGTCACTCCACTCCGGTAGAACTTTACCCATGTGAAGCACGGCTGTGGTAAGTCATTTCCATGTCGAGGGTAGCTGCACACACAACGCATCGAACGCTGTACACATGCCCCTCCCGCGCGACCTCCTACTTGTACTGAACCCTAGGCTCTTTGTATTGTAAACTGATTTCAGGTTAGCTAGGCGTTGATTCTTATGGGTTGCGCATGCCTAGAGTTAGTAGTGATGACTGCACGACTCCTTCGGGAAGGAGAAGGTCACACCGACGCACAAGGTTGAAACACATAGCATTGTCGGTCGGTTTGACCTTTACCGGTGCGCCATTAGCGTGGCAGTCTATATTTCCAAGCCGCCAACTTACGACTGACTTGCGTAGATACATAGTTCTCATGCGCTATATCTACTCTACGTCGTTTCGCCACTCGCCGCCTGAACATTTGGCCACCACAGCTACTACGCAACAACAATTTTCTGCAAAATGGACAACGAATTTTAGGACGCATCATTGGTTGATTTTTCTCTGTTATTAACCAATGTCAGTGAAGGCAAAAAGTCGCTGATATTTCAGCGGCTTGAGGAAAAAGCCAAAAACCGCTGACACAAAAGTCGCTCCGAACACGCCCTAATACAAGTGTTGTAGTTTGTATTTGCGAGATGAATGCGTTCTTGGATCGAACGATATGTATGACGAGTACTGTGTAGTACTACTAGTCTTACGAAGTAGTACTATGGTGCACGTCATCTATAAACTACCAACTTTTCACAAAATTTTCTGACTTCTATTTCATATTCATTACTCAAAATTGCAGCAAATTGAGACGTATAATCGACAGATCTCAATGTGGTGAAGAAATTCTACGTCTCAGATTCAAATTTGGTGATGAATTGGTCCAGAAATAGATATTTAACCTAGTGGTATTTTACATGGGCGCTTGGATATTTGGCCATAGGGGTGGCCGCTCAAATGTATCTTGATTTTTGTATGTGACTCTTATCCGTATTTAATATCCGGAGGCAAGGGAGACCTTTAACCTCCCACTCCAGTGATAAAACGCATGA